ATATTGTTCAAAGGTTGAAAGACAGATTTTGCCAGTGGCCAGTCACACTTAGGGAAGGGTCACCCTAGTCCAGCATTGCTACGGATGATGAAATGGATTCTGTCTCTTCCTCCGTTCTAAATTATAACACACCAGGAATTTTACAGGGATGAAAAAGATGTCTGATCTTGCAGAATATAAATCTATGGGAATATCAACACAGACCTGTGAGCCTTTGGGACGGACAGCAACCCTGGGACACAGTAAGAGGGAGCAAAGCTGAGGAAATTTCTTGCTGGTCTTCCTCTACTTTTCCTACTCTTGCTCACTTTCCCATCAAAAGATCCTTCCTCATTTTCCTCATTCTTATATTACACAAACAGAGAATAATTTACAATTTACTTGCCAACCCCTGCTCACATACTTTGCTGATTCAGGACATTCTTCCTCCACATACGTGACCTGAAATGCTGGCTTAATGCTTTTTAAATGCTGGTTCTCAATCTTAAAGAGACAAACTGTGAAGCCACCACAGTCACAACAGTCCCACTATGAGCTCAGAAGTGATTCCTCAAGATCCAGCTCACACAAGAGATCCTTAAACAACCCAGTACCTCCATCAAACACCAAAACCTAGTGTCTCCAAGAGAGTAAATCCCTAAATTAGTGTTCATCGTATGCGCCTAAAATTAGGTGCCTAAGCCACCAAACGCGATCATCAAATCTATATCCCTATCACAAACCTGCCTACCTCTAGCCAGTGCCTACTTTGCGCTAGTTTCCTAATGAACCACTGGACTGGTAAGGAGGAACACTTACACTGCTAAGCATTTTGGAGAAAAGAGACTGTTTTGAAAATAACAGCATTAAATTGTTTCCGATCAAGTATGACATCAGTGCTAACTTCAAATCCCTTAGCATGTTTCCCCCCCCTCCCCAGTTCTTCAAGATCAGGGTCTCCTGAACAAAAAACCATTTGGTGGCTTTTCTTAATGGGCAAATAATAATAAATTTCAGAATCCATTTTTCCAACAGAAAATAATAACGATTTTAAGTAAAACACTGATAAACAAAAATGAGACACAAGAAATTACTCAGTTTCCGTGAACAGATGTCTAGCCTATTTGCAATTAATACAGCCCACTTCCATGCAATCAGACTGTTTAAAAAGCTTGGAACAAGACTTGAAAGTTGAAATGCAAATGTGTCTGATTTTATGGAGAATGAATAAAATTGTATAAAAACGTTTCATATTTTTATATGAAAGATCTAGTAAAAATCTAGGCATCAGTATAAATTCATAAAATTAATTTATCATCAAAAATTTGTAAGAGAATACGAAAAGACAAAATCATGATTTCTGCCATGAGCTTTGGTTTGGCAGAAACAATTCAATTTTTCAAATTGGAAGATAGTTATACATATCATTATCCTTTAGAAACAGCTCAAATTACAGAAAACTATTCAATTATCTGTAAAAATATTTACCCAGTGTTTGTAACTTCTATAGTAGTGCTTTTATATAGCTTTACAAACACTGGGGAGACAAACAATTTTAAAGACAAAGTAGTTCCCAAATGAAGACAAGAAAGTAAGTTTCTACACCTGACTAGGACTGGCTAGGTACATGACCCAAAGGAAGGTATATCCGTCAACTGGAAAAGTGGGGCTAATGTTTACTGTTTTCTAAAATATTTCTGATATTAAGGAATGAATGAATTGTACACAGGAATTAAGTGTTTCACACCGAAAAAAAAATATTCTGAATTTTGATAATGGAAACAAGGTGTGTGAAACTCTCATAATAATCACACCATCAAGTTATTGTATTAGAAAAAATAATGTATATCTAGGAATTCAAGTAATCATTCAAAACAAGCAAAAATCTAGGTATTTTTCGTTAATTAAAAATCAATTCATGTTTTCTTAACATATGAGATGAGGTTTATCTATTTACAATTCCTGGCATTTGACCAACAAAATCTCACAAAAACCTTAAGGAGTCCACAGTTCCCTTTGCTGCTGCTGGAAATTAATTTTGCATAACCCAGTTACTAAAGCTGATATAATTCTATGTTGAGTCTTCTTTATGCATAGTGCGATTAAAAGATTAATTGAAAAATCACTAGTGAAGATTGGGATTAAACAGCACCTTGAAATGCCATGATAAACTGCTTTTAAAATCAGTTGAGGATTTCACACAGCTCTGAAAGGTTTCAATTATTTATGTGTTTGGTCTGCGTAGCATAAATCCAGACTAATGAGGTACAATTGCTGTGTATAAATCTAAAGTACAAAAAACCTCCTTATTGTCTGGAGGAAACAGTCACCTCAAAGGACTAGGAGGTAGCAACCTTTCAAGACACCGCATTTATGCTCTCAGGAATAGTTTATTTTTCTCTTTGCTTAAAGTTCTCAGCTGATGTGAAAGCTGTACCCTGGTTAGGGAGAACCCAGCTTAACACAAAGGTTACTCGCCAGAAGAGTTTGACCAGCAGGCTCACACGGCTGCTAATTATTCCTCTTGAAACACCAGACGAATCTTAGACCGTGAAAGTCCCACTGCTACAGCTAAGGACATAAATTCATTTCCATGTGCGCATGAAGTTGTAGAGTCTGGGGCTGAAACTTGCTGTATTAGGTCTTTTTCCTAAAGATGCTTTGTTTGGCAAAGTCTCCAGCTATTCTGAAGTTTCAAAGAATCTCACAGGCGCTCCCTTCCCCTTCTTCCCCATCTCTTTCCAATCATTTGCACGCTTTTAAAACATGTACAGTGCTTACCAGTGCCTTTGAAGATGGATACATGTTTTTTCTGGTAAATGGAATGATTGTGTTTAAAGATGTTTTAATATAACAACTAGACCTCCGCGTCAAAGACCTTCATAAGCAACGGCAGGTATGATATGAACAGTCCAAGGATGAAAATAGTTGAGATTATACAGTTAATTAATTAACTCTGGGCAAACAGTATGGTTGTGAAATATTTTTTACATAAAATAAGCATCATCTGAATCCTTTGGTATTGTGGTAAACCACGTTGCTGCAAGGGAACAACTCCAAATCTAACTTGGGATAAGTTCAGAGTGAGAAATCACAAGTAGTGAAGAAACCTCCCTTCTTCTGGGGGAGGTGCTCTTCACACTGCCCATCCTACAGCACCTTTCACTGAATGATTTGCGGCTGAAAACAGCAAAAGCTTTTGTAGCAGTCAGGGCCAGATGGAAAGTGCCATATTGGCAACATCAACTGAGACAGATGGGAAAGAGGGAAAACCTGCCTAAAAGAAAAAAATGATAAACCCATCACACAATCACATACAAAAATACTTTAAAAATAATCTTTTGATCTCTGATCCAAGGAAAATATGCATGCCACTGGTTCAATACAGGGCTGCTATCTTGTAGCAACAATCATGTCTTTGATTTAGAGAGCGACTGCAACATGGAATTCAGTAAGTTACTACTGCTTGCAAAAGGGGCTTCTTTTACAGTTACCGCCCTTCCACCCTACCTGATTCCTTATCAGTCACATCCAAGATAATTTATCTAATTTCCTAATTGTGCCCAAACCTTGAAAAGCGTCATCTATTTTCTGACCTCAAAAAGCCGTTAGAAGTGGAAGGCACTTACCACATGCAAAAAGGGGCTCTAAGAGAATGGAAAGGGTTTCAAAGCAAGGAAGTAAAACTAGACATTTTTCTATAGGAAAACAGTTAAATATAAAGTCAGCTTAAGAGGAAACACAAAAGCTTCCAAGACTTATAGCTTCTTAAGACTGCACTGATGAATTCAATTCTTTTCTGGAATATATTGTTCCACTTGGCAAATCCAACAATTGCAGATTAAATGTTTTAATGCCAGCTGTTTATTTTAACCTCTGACTCGGTTAATCTCTTGCAAATTTGGGGCTGTTCAAAGAAAGTTAATAATGGGATGTTAGTTGATTAATTAAAACTAAACATAATCACAGCTATATTTACTATAGAGAAATTAACGGAACCTTTGAAAAATATAGACAAAAATCTAACCATAGTAGTGTTTTAAAGTCAACAAAATCTAAAACCAATATGAAATCTAAGGAGCGGCCCTCACGTTGACTTACATTGACTCAACAATTCTGTTTTGATAAGGTATCTGATTTTCAGACTCATTTTACCGTTTGCTTGGAAACAAAAAATATACTCACACGTACACTACACCCAAGCCTTTTGTAATAGCTTGTGTGAGAAAGGAAAAAATTAAAAGGAAGTACGATGAGAAATCTGAGATGGAAAAGACCGATCTGGTCTCAGTTCTTCACCTGTGTATACCGATTATTTTCTAGTTTTATTTAAAATTTGGCTAAAGATGCGACTTCTGTCTTTCACCCTACTAGAGGAAAATCAGCATCCAACTGCTACGCTACAGACTCCACTTCCACGTTGCTGTCTTAGAGTAACAGCTTTAAAGACTTCTCTTGCTATAAGCACAACAGCTGCCTGTGAAAATTGATGTGAACAATAGGTTCTTCTGGAATGAAATCTTGCTTGGTCAGGCAGAAATAAGTCGAATGTATTGGACTTGTTTACCTCTAACCCAGCTTCTACTGCTCCTTTAATTCAAAGGCAAATTCTTGACTTCATCATATAACAGCAATTCACTGACCCAAGAACAACTTGAACAAATTTAAATCATATTGGTTTCCTCCTTCTTTTCTTCCTCCCACCACTCTTTTCCTTCTTAATTATCATGATTAAGACTCACTCATTGCCAAGACTGCTGAAAAACACAGCAAATATTTGAGTTCGCGCTCATATTTCTACAATCACATTTAACAATAAAAAGTAATAGATCTTTCATTTAAAGGTGAAATTCTTTTAGCACTCATTTGCCTAAGAGCAAGAAAGATCCTACATTGCTGTGACAAATGAAGAACAGTATGTTTCTGAAAAAAAAAAAAAAATCTTTAATATCCTGCATTTTAGGAACAGTAACTCAATCCCTTAAGAAAACCATCTCAAGGGATTAAATGATCCAACTTACCAGAAGCATTGCTGAGGTTCCATTTGGCCGGGATAGCTGGATAGACATTTCAGGGAACATCCTATCAATGCGATTGATCACATCATCAACATATCTACCAAACAAACCAAACAACAGAATTAACACACACGCTCCTTGCCACAGTCTCAGATTATTACTCCTTTTTAACAATCTCCGCAGGACTTTCCTGAATTAATTTCTCTTTGATACCTGCATAGTCTTCAAAAATGCATGCAAGCATAATTCAAAAAGTTATTGATGAGAGGAAACATGCCAAAGCCCTATGTAAGTTGTTTTGAAAATTAATTACTCTGCCCTTAAAAACATGCACTCACTTAATTTTTAGTCCAAATCTGTCACCCTCAAACTCTTGCCATCACATTTCTATACTTTTGCCTCAGATTGTTGAAGGATACATTATCAAAATTACTCTTCCAGTGTAGGAATTCATAGGTTGTCAACTCCTTACCCTTTCTTTGATAAACTAAAGCAGATACAGGTTTTCTCAAAGTCTTCAGACTATTCTTAGGGTTTTTTTTTTTCCTCTGAATCTTTCCAATTTATTTCATGCACTGGTGACTCTGAAATCGGCTACTACGTTCCAGGAGTTTCTCTGGGGTGATCACACACAGAGGTAAAATAACATCCTTTCTGCTGGGTATAATCCCTCTGCTTACGCAGGCCAAAGCGAGCCAGCATACATTTGCTTGGTTCCCTGGCATCATATTAAGAGCTGACATCCATTAACAGTGAAAACTTCCTTTCAGAGACCTTGTTTCCCAGGACACATCACCCCATCCATGGGCATGTCTCTCATCCGTCAGCCATTCCTCTGGACAAATTAAAATGCACAGTATTTCTTTAGCAGAGTTTACAAGACAGTCTGTATCATCTGCGCCCTAATGTGTCCTCTGGTACTACTTTCAGTTCTCCTGAAGTATGCAGAAGAAGGGAGGGGCACTGCTGCCTTGTGATCATATGCATCTACAAACTCTGCAACTTGATCAGATCCATGAACGATTTTATTGATAAAACTGTTTTCATGCTAGCCCACATACGTGCTCTGAAAAAAAGATTTTGGAAGAATCGGTTGCCCCCGTTAGATTAACAGTAAAACTGAAAAATAGAATTCTTTCCCTTTAACCTGCTTAAATAAAGGCAAAAAACGTTGAATTCTTGCTCTTCGAAGTTATTCAGTTCTAGTGTTAGTTGCTACCCCCCCCCCCCCCAAAAAAATCAATGAAGTGCTATGCTCCTCCAATTGCTTTGCAAGGGATTAAAAGTCATCAGAAAAAAAAAAATCAAGAAAGCTACACTTACACAGCTGGTAAAGTCACCCCACTTTTAAAAGTAACAAAAAAATGGTATTAGTGCTCCAATTGCTATTTTGCAAGGGATTAAAAGTCATCAGAAAAAAATAAAATCAAGAAAGCTACACTTACACAGCTGGTAAAGTCACCCCACTTTTAAAAGTAACAAAAAAATGGTATTAGTTATGACAATTTTGCATAAGAATCTTAATCCGCACTTCTCATTGTGCAGAAAAAAGTTTCCCCGTTCACTTGAATGACTCATTAACAGCTTGCTTGCTGATGAGCAAAGTCAAAACATCCATTAGCCAAGAACTTCCTTAGCATGGGTGAAAGAGGAGACGCGTAAGAGTGCTTCAGGATGAGTAAGCTACACATTGACAGTATGCACCTAACTATTTTAAACATTACTTAATCCCATACTTTTTTTATATAGCATGAGAGTTTATATTGTTTCCTAAACGCAATTACTCCAGGCTCTGCAAATAAGTTAAGCTATCGCTTGTGCATGAATAGAGATGACTGATTGAGAAACAGGCAAGGAGAGATTCCGAGTTTCTTGACTAGTATGTGGTTAGGAACATGTCTTATAGCCTTGCACGCTACGATGCAGATTATTGCATAACTTAAGTTTTCTAATTTTCCAAGCTTTGGGCAATAATCAGTTAAAAACAATCAAAAGATGAAGTTGCATAAAAAAAGGGCTGCTTACACACGGACACAGTCTATATGCATTAAGGAAGGAAAAGTCAAGTAATTTTAAATCATATAAACAACAGTTGGGCAGTTAATCTGCCTAGGTCCTTCTGAAAAACCCCAGGGGAGATGTACATTTATTCTTTGAAAATGTGATCCAAGCTGGTTGGAGGTAACCAATTCTTCAAGTCGTTCTTAGATCTGATTATTTTTTAAATGTAAAAATTGTCTTGATCGTGTGCCTTAAAACTTGACTCAAACCCAACTGTCATCTACTACTACCTGAGCAGTATAAGGCAGAACAGGGAATTCACAGGGAGCTTGGGAAGAGTCTTCCCTTTAAGTGAAATCACACATACAGCAAAACAGAAATCTTCTCATTTGTATTAACCAGCTCGTGAAAGAACTTAAAGATGAGTTACTAAGACACTTTGGGCTTAGAAGCCTGTTAATTTTGTACCACTCTTCATAAGTCAGTTGACAAAAAAAGAAAATTAAAACCATACGCTTAAGGAAATATAATGTTTTACTTTGGCAAGGCTCAGCAACTCTCCAACAGGACCATCCACACAGGTAGCCTTTTCCTTCTTTTCTCAGTCAAGAGGATGTTAGAGAAAATCCAAGACCAATATGATAAAAGAGCATTGATGTACCTATCATTGTTTTGCCCCTTTGCCTTTTTTCAAGTAGACATCAGGGTTTCCTGAGGACTCATCAGAACAGAAGGATTCTTCAAAGATGCATATATAATTACTAAATTAGCCTGACTACATGGCGGCCTCAAATATAAAATGACAAACAACCTAATCTAAGGCAAAATTCTTCTATAGATATGCCCTTCAGAGAGGACATCTGGTAAAACATCTTGCGAAGGGATGGATATGATAAATCAGATGCAGCAAAGTAATGTAGAAGTGTAACTGGTGACGACTTTAGAGAAAACTGAAGAAGATATGATAAAGACAAGATAAAGTGCACTCCTGAGGCTGTCTGGAAAGAGGGTCAGAGAAAAAGCTGCTGTCTGGAACTTATTCTACAGAACTAGAATACATTAATTTAGTGCCAAAATAAGCAGAGTCACAATTTACACATCTCTGTCCACTCAGTTTTAGCTCAAAAATATGATAGTTCCTATTTGTGTTACAGAACCTCTTACACAGTCTCAGAGAAGCGTAGCACTTAAGGATGGAGAAAAGTCTAATTTTACTTTGCCAATAAGCACTTCAAACTTTTAACGTACTTACCACATCTCAGTTTTCTCCTACTTACAAAAGATGATGGTTGGAACGAGCATTTACAAACCCAGGAGAAATAACGCAAAGCAGGGAAAAGCAAATGGAAATAGATTTGCTCAAACATTTGGCATATCTTAATCTCAAGAAAAAAAATTCATGGAATTCTCAGAATTAAATACAAGCTGAAATTATATGGTAGTAGCTTCCCCTCTTGTCCTAGAACGGGCATTGTTCCACCTACGAAGGGTTGAATAGAGTGTTTAGACAAACTCCCTCCCCATAGCTTCTCTATCACGCAAAGGATGCTCAAGAAGGTCTGAAGACAGATCGCAAACAACTGCAAAAGATCATACCCAGTAGACTACATATTCAATTACAGCACAGTATTTAAAGTCTCTACAGACAGAATTTCATCTTCCTTATTCTTCTAGGCCTCAAAAGACAATACATTAACACCTTGTAGTTGCAACATCCTAAGTTAGTCCCATTCTATTCAAAAAAGCTTCAAGTAACTTCATCAATACCTGCATCCTAATCCAGACCTGTATGCCTCCTAGTCAGAAAAGAACAACAGACTCGACCAACAGGACTTCCGATCATTAAAGCATATCAGATACTAAAGCAATTTTGCTAATGTAATTTTACTGGTCAGAGGGAAGATTTTTAAAGAAGCTGTAATAGCAGGTTTGTACCAACTTCCCTCTCCCATTTTTTCTCATCCTTCTCTCCTTCGTGACACAGATTCATAATTTTTAAGGAGGTTTTAGAATTATATTTTTGACAGAAAATCTTTACTTTAAAAATGATAAATAGTATCATTCAGGGGTATGCATCTGAATGTGCAACAGAACCAGCCAGTAAGATCAGACCTGACATCAGATGCTCTCCAAGGCTGTCAACGCTATGAATCGTTATTTTCATTTTAATGTAGTAGAATATTTTTTCCTACAAACATGCTATATTAATACCGCAAAAGTCAAAACACAGCAATCTACTTCATGAACATTAGCAAAGACTAAAATGAATTTGAAGTGTTATACTCCAAATGAAGTTGTTATGAACATGCAGAAAAGTCAACACTAGAATAAAGCAACAGAAACATTCTTTGAAAATCTCTCTGCCATTTTGCCAATAAGCATATACATAAATCCTTTAGTCCCTATTAGAGGAACAATGCCTGGGACAGAAGACACTTTTGAAGCCAGTTAGAAAATACTGTTTATAAGGGACTAATTAGTTATGCAAAATGCTAAACGAAAAGTTTCATACTAAAACATCAGGTTGACAAGGTAGATATAATTCAGGAACCATCTTTGTAGGTAAACGGTCTTGTAACATCTCCTTGATTCACACAAAGGCCCCCCCAAAAACCAGTAATATAGAAAAGTAATTCATTATAAATGCCTTTCAATTCCACACTGGACAGATGGCTTAGATCTCTAAAGTGACCTCTCATTTTTTTTATTTTGACTGGATTAGATCCAGCGATCCAATGTTAGTTTGATGTTTAACAGCTTAGACAAGATATAAATAGCGTTTATCCCACACAGTGTTTAACTTGCATGCTGTTCATTTTTTCCACCCAATACAACAATTTAAAGATTAGAAATATAAGTATAAATAATAATTTTCTGAGGAGGTCTTTCAGAAGAAAGAAAACTTTGCTAAATGATCTTGGGGAGACAGAGAAAAAGAGAGAGGGAGAAAAAAAATAGACATTTGTAATATAAAAGAACGGAATCTTTCCTATACACTCAGTGGAAAAGACCACATACGAGATGAAGAGAAACTCTACGATTCTGTTGAATCTGGATTCATAATATTCTGGACAGCAACAGGGGAAACTCTCCACA